GGTTATATTGACGGAAAATAAAGAAATACAAAAAACGTATAATATATTTATTATACATTATTATACAAATAAAAAACTGCAGCGGGAGCTCTGATCCTAATCAACGGCGGTGTGCGTTTTCTTCAAGACCCCCCCGCTGCACTCTGACGGTTGAGCTGGGGATCACGCTGATATTCAATTGGCCGTTACCTACACTCTGTAGACTGTAATCGTGTACACTGAATGCCGGTAGGTAACCATAACGGGTGTAATATGTGTACTTAGTACTAACGCTTTATATATCTTTATTAAATATTATTTTGTACCTATGCTCGGGTTGTGTTGGTCCCTTGTAAAATTTCCGGATGTCTGGTGTTTTTATTTCAAATGCATATATTAGACTGTTTTTTTTTTAAATTTAGAAGTCTATCCAAAAAAGAAATTAAAATGTTTTATTAAAAAAATTCTTACTTGAAAACTAATAAAATATTTTACAATTGAAAAAAAGAATAATATGGGACTTCAAAATCACTTGGTATTTTACGATAAAAATTGTTTTTGTCAAGCTACAGCTCTTTGAAACAGATAAAACTGATAACTGATAACTGATCACAAAATATCAAAACGAGGATTTTCAAGTGTTATAATTTAGTTTCAAGAATGTTTTATTTAAATTGAAAAATATTTAAATTATTTTTCAATTTAGAAATGTTAAATATTGATAAATGTTGCCAGTATATAGATTAAGGCCAGATATTAATACTACTAAAAATCGTTTGCCCAGAACATATAATTAAGTCTATACTGTCAACATATATCGCAAGGAGATTATAAATCGGAAATAATCATAAAGTTATCAGGAGATATCCATATATTGATGTATCTGCATGACGTGTGGATACTCTTAACTCAGTGGGTTTTTTTACATTACACGTGGGATGAAACATAATAATTTTATTCATACAATAAGATCTCAATTTTCACAAAATATTGTGTTTTTTACCTCCTCCCAAATCAGTTATTTTTACATCAACCTTAAATGGTAACGTGTATATTTTTTGAACTTTTTAAATTAAGAATAATTCACTGGAAGTGTGGTTGAGTAATGCTCGCAGATACAAATAGTACTAATCACCACCCTTCCTCTCATCCTAAACTTTAATTTTTACGATAGTGAGTTCAAATTACCTCTTGGACCAACAAATCTTAGTTGTAGGTACAACATGTTCTTTTTGTCTTTGCACGCCGTTCATTTCCACGCGCACGTGGGATTTGTTAGTAATATTATGTTTTCAATGCTTCACAAAAGTAGAATCTAATATAGACGTTATAGCTTGTATATCGGAATTTAGACAAAATTAAAAGGTTTTTGTGATTATCCACAATTGATGTTGAATAACGTAAAATGTATACATTTCCGGAAGTATTGATAACTGTTTTTTGAATTATGTGTTTTATGTGTTCTTAATTCTTAAATTATATAAGAATCCCGCGTGGGGTGTGTATACCCACGCTTTGATGCAAAGAATATATTCAGGCTTAATTTTATCTTAATTAGAATACAATGAAAAAAGCGACCCAGAGGGAGCGATAATAAAACATAATTGAGGGTGCCGTTGATTCATTTGATCTTTTTTTCATTTTACACAATATACATGCACATTCAGTCTGCTTATTAACAGTGTTATTCACGCGCCGGCTTCCCTGTTTTCGTTAGTACGCTTTATGAAATAAATGGTCCTTAAAAAACTCAATTGGTCCTGCTGACCATTTATTTTAATTATGCTTATTTACAACGAATTCTTCTACAACTGTTATTGTTCTTTTATGATATTTGAGTTTTTGTTTTAACAGTAAATTTCAGACACAGCCGATTATTATCAGTTTAAAAAATAAAGTGCATATTTCATCATGTTTATCATATTATTTCATACCTATAACATTTTTTTCGGATACCTGTTGACTATTAAGCAATCTAGAAATTGACTATATTGACTATATTTTATTTTGTTTTTCCTTAATAATAAAAAAAGGTTAACAACAAATAATTGAGAACATTTTATATTATGTTATAGTCCCATTCTAGGTCTATTATTGGTCTAATTTTCAGACTTAAAACCCTAATGCTCAGTGTTGGGTAAATCTATGTATAAAAGTTGTTTACACCTACACGTATAATACGTATTAATATGCATGTGAAAAACGTATAAAACGCATCGAAGTTAAAATGGAATTTGAATCCATAAAGAGAGAATATCTAATGAAGTACAGTATAAATCAGTATAGAAGCGATGTTAGCAAAGTTGGGTCAAAGCAAATATTTTATCTGAATGTGATTTCATCACAATAAACGCTTCGATGCTAATCTTAAAATAGTAGACGCTTATACATAAATAAGGAAAACATGTTTAATGCGAAAACGTTCCAAAAACAAAATCTAGCACTTTTGCTGTGTAAGCGTTACATATTAACTCGAGCTAAAGACGACCACTGTGAATAAATATTAAAAAGAGGGTTATTTTTAATGATGGTTTTATAGATTATATTTAGCGCTATGTATTATTTTAAAAGGAATTATTTTTATGTCATTCGGAGACAATTGGGTGGTAAAAATCATGGAAAATCGAAAAAATAGGGGACCAAAATCGTAGATATGCATTTCATATTTTAACTACAATCTTCTAATACATAATCGTGATTTACGTTATTGCTTACACTGATATTTATGGGATCGTTAGTTCGTGATGTTTAACTAATATAGATATCATTATTTATTCTTACCTAATTATTAAAACATTATAAAATACTAACAATAATTATAAAGAATCTATAATATTTTAAATTAATCTTTATAAAAAAGAACATTTCCAGTATTAATAATTTTTTCATTTTAGTACAAAAATGGTAGTGCAAAGTAATATTATTATGTAAAACCAGATAAGTGCCAAAATGTCGAATAAAAACAAGATGCGGTATCATAATAATTATGAATACGGAAGTTCACATCACAGTTTAAAAACCTGTAATATCTAAAACTTCATCTGAAATATCAATATAAATAATTTTTTTTTGATATTATTTTTGCAACGTTTATTAACAGTACTATTAATCAGCTTAAACATTTTCCCTATATATTTGGATATAAATCAACAATTATTTTTAAAAAACTGGTTTATATATATATAAATATAATATTTTGAAAAATATATTTTAATTTTTTGGGCGTTTTTCTTGATTTTAAAGCTGAACTGTTGAAAATTTCCTTTCTACTAGATAGGGAAGTAGAATGAAAGGTCTGAAAATTATACTGAATGTAGATTTAACACAGAAATAATATTTGTATGATACAACTTTTTATAAAAATCTGTAGTTAATTTTTTTTTATATTAATGAAAAGACAAAAGAAAAAAATTTCAATATTTTTTTATCTTCAAGCGAAATAATGTGAATGATGTACATTATGTACATTATGTACATGATGAAAGGCATGTGCTTTTCTATGCTTTTATTAACCAAGCTACTAAAAAAAAACATTTGCATAATATTACATACATTATATTTTGGATTGTTTGCTAGCTTTACTTTTTCATTGGCGATAATTATAAATAATTTTTATGTTGGCCATATTTTAATAAAAATAATAACATATTATTTGGTAATGCAAATAATTCTAAAAATTAATAACAATTGTAATAATTTTTAAATATTTTTGTCAGGTAAACTAATTTTAATGTTATTTTTATAATATTTATAATTTTTGACTAAAAAGAAAAGTGTTGGCCCTATTCAACAAAGTCCCTCATAAATTTATCAGATAATGTTTTATATTGTAAGTTCTTTTGTAATTTAAATTTGGACTTTGTTGAATAGGGCACACGCTTTTCTTTTTAGTCAAAAAAAAGATGTTCAACTTTAATTAAAATTGTAGTTAATTTTCGGTGGTTTTCAAAGTAATTGACATTTTAAATAAAATATGCTACACTTGATTGGTAGGTAAATTGTTGTTGTAGTAAAATTATTTTTCACTTTTTTACTATTTTTTAGAAAAGCATGTTTTTAAAAAAGGTTTTATTTTTTATTTTTTACTTTTTAGTCCTATTAAAGATACTTAACAACTGGTGAATATATTAGTAAATTCATTTTGTAAGATTTGAAAAAACATGAAATTTTAGTGAAATGACCTTGTGTAGGGTGACCTGGATGTCCTAGTCCCAATATTATTACAGGATAAGTGTATTGTCATCCAAGAAAAGTGTCTGTGCCAAGTTTCAGCACTCTACGACCTCGGGAAAGGGGGAAAAATTAATTTTGAAAATACCCGTACGTACGTGTTAGCGAGTTAAATAAAAATTATGTAAAAATCACTGTACGTGCAAATCGGAAATAAGCGGGATGGCGCAGATTTTTGCAAAATTTTATATTTTATTTTTGAATGACGAAGATTACAAGGCATATTGACTTTCAATTTGTTTTTAAACTATCGAACGATTTAAAAAAAATATACATAAATAACAAGTGATGTGCAGCACATACAATTTTTTTTTGTAAACCTGAAACATATTTTGAATGACAAAAGGCAAAAAAGCAGACAAGAGTTTATTTTTTTTTAAATCGGTTAGAAAGTATAACAGAAAATCTACAAGACTTGTAGAAAGTGTACCGGTTTAAAACAAAATGAATACCTACGTTTTTGAGTAAAAAACTACGTCAGCGTCGCACCGTGACCATAACCTTTTATTACCGGGGTATAGATTTGTGTGTGATTATAGTATTTTTGTACTTAACATTTTTGTTGCCAGAATGATGTAAAAATTATTTTCTGCAAAAAAAAAATATATATTTTTTAAACAATAATAATTACACTAAAAAATATACACTACAATTGCTATAGACATTTATTATAATTCGATATTTAGTTAACATGTAATTCGTGTGAGCATAACAATTGATGATAAATTAATGAATATTTGTATAATGTAATTATTACTTAATATTAAATATCAATTGGTGTTAAATCTTCATTAGTCAGCAAGTTTTAACAATTTTCCTAACGGATCCCAGTGTTTCAGCACTATAGGTTCTTGGTTATACACTTGTAATACGCTCTCTGGTAGTAATGTCTTGTCAACAACCAATTCGAATACGTACTCTTTAAACCATTCTGCGGTCATCATTAAATACCCATTTGATATTTTTTGTCGACCCCACGAATTTTCAACGCAAAGTTTAGTTATTCTTTCGCTCTGAAAATTATCGTTATGATTATAACTAGTGATGGGCCGATACCAATTTGTACAGATATCTATTAAAAAAAATCAACATTTTTTGCAAAAACCATGAACCGATATTAAAACAAAACCGGAGTATCGGTTCTAGTATAAGCCCGCCCCTAATTATTATAAAATGTATAACTTAAAACTTATAAAGTTTCTGAAAGTTTCATAATATATAATTGAGGTGTATGATTGTTAATTTAAAAAGATTTAAATTACATTTATCATTCAAACAAATATTGTTTTGTAATTGTGAAAACTATTTTAAATAGCACCAGAAAGTTGGGGAGCTAATGAAAGGCCCCGTAATCTTACCGTCATTACGTTTAAAACAATATTTTGTCATTTAATTCATAAATAAATATTATAAAAATAATTTTTGTCATCAAACTTTCTAAGATTTTTCTTTTGTGGAACGTTGAAAATTCATGAGCAGTGTTTAAGTATAAATTGAGTGTTTCATTCGAGTGTTTTATTATAAATTATTACTTCAAGATTGATTCCTATGAAAATCATTGCGTGCGTCGCACTTGATTCTTGGTATGTTATTCTTTCGGCTTTGGACATAGACTTCGATACTTCTGTACCAAAGGTCACGTTAAAGTCATGTCTAAAGAAATAAACACCGTTTATTTTGAAATTATAGTGAATACGCCAAGACGTGTGGGTAAAAAATACTTAACATTTCCAAATCGGCTTGTCCTAGTTTTTTAGAAAACCGTTGTTCTATCTGACATCCAAACCAAACAGGTTCGACACGTTTTATGATGGAATCCTGACAAGCTTGCAACAATACTTCAATCGGTTGGTTGTTGAACAAGACTTGAGCACCCCCAACCATATTGTTTAACAAGTCCACCGTGTACAGTTTACCGAACGCACTTCCCGTCCGAGGATCTGATATCAAACATACCTAGTATAAATATAAATACAATTTTTCTAAAACACTTTTTAGATCATGTGTTTGTGACGATTTTATTGGCATATATTCAAGGAAAACGCATAACTTACAAACAACCACGTACGACTTTATTTTGAAAAAAAAACTCGGAAAATGTTGCAAAAGAGTCAATTTTTCAGACAAAAAAAATTACAAATTAATATACCAGTATAACATAACGTTAATAATAAAATCTATATACATTCCAGTTTAAAAAATTTTCGGATATTATTATAAAAGGCTTTTGAGAACACTTACTTTATCTGCTACATTGTACACTGGTCGGACTAATTCCTCGTAAAACTGTAATGAAGTCATCGGTCCGAACACATGAGGTTTATGATAATAGTCATAGAAGGACCATGCGAATTGTTCAGAAGGTATTCCTAGACATATTCCGACTATACGATACACAGTGCACATGTTTTGATTTATTTGGATTTGGATATCATCATCGTTTGCTTTATCGCTGACCATTGTGTGTAGAATTGACGCGAATTCTCGAAGCTGGTGCAACAAAAATGTGTTTTTATATAAAGATAATTGTTTATCGTTCTGCGCTTGTACCCAGAGTACCAAGTATAAAATTAATATTTTATGAACTTTTTCTCAAGATTGTTTTTGGATATCAATAATTTAAAAAAGGCAGTACAGTAGGGTCAGGAAATAGTGGGGACGGGGAGGTCATAGGTCTACTAGAATTATTATAACTGAAAGTGATAAAATCACTTTTAAATAAACGTTTCTATGCGAATCTATGGATAGTAGGTTCAAACCAGTACAGCCCAATCTAAGCACAGTAAGTATTATACGTAAGTGAGTAGTAGCAGTAGACAGCTGTAGTAGTAAGTTAGTAAGCAAGGAAGGTCCAGTATTGACAGATAAAAATACAAATATCGCTAAAAGCATTGTACCTAATGACAATTATGTGCTTAAAAATTAATTTTTAGTATTAGAGTGGACACGATTAAGGTTGATCGTCTTTCTATAAAAATGTATAGTCATGGTTTGCCATATATCGTAATTAAAAATATAATGAAAATGTTTTCATTACTTGTGGGACTGTCGATACACTCTCACATTGCAAAGATTAATAATTTTACCATTTTTATGGGGTTTTCCTTAATAAAAAAAAATTTGATTACAGGTTTTTGAGAAAATGTTATATTTTGTTATTCCATTCTAGATCGGGTCTATTTTTTTAGGACTAAATTCCTAAAACTGTGCTTGAAAATGTGAAATAAAGAAAAAAATTCTATCTCTTCCTAAGGGAAAGGTTTATGATATTTCTTTGGTTTGTCAATGTTTATCGGTAGTACTATGTTAAAAAATATTCCATAAAAAATGTGGAACTAAATGTCGCCTAAAATGTTTTTTAAAAAGTTAGAGATAATCGTAACTTTAAGTTAAAAATATGTAAATATGTTGGGAGTTTTTCTCGATTTTGAAGGGGAAGGGGTGATTTTTTTTTGGTCCATCAAAGTACCTTACAGTTACGATGTTTGATCTATAGAATTGCTACTCGAAGAAATCGGTTCAGTGGTTTAAAAGATATTGTGCACACTTTCTCATTTCCGCATCGAAACTAAAATTTAACATAGTAAATAGTTTATACATAAATTGACGTTTTTAATGTTTCGAGGAAGAATATTATAGTTATTACTTCCGTAATGGACAAATTCCAGAATCCAGCTTGTGAATTATAAACATTTTTTGTATAATAAATCCAAATTTGTCAACTTATTGAGTCTCTCGGTTGCATTTTTATTTTGCCAATTTTAGAATAATGTATTTGTGGTGCCGGGAGACCGGTGGTTTAGTGCTCGCAAAGAACAGATTGTTAGTATTGTAAGCAAATCCAGTAAAATGGGCTCCTTTTATTAAATATTCCTGTGGTCGTTTGTTTTATATGCTTAATTTTTGCGCACCAACCAAATTTTGGATCCCTCAATTCTTCTACATATTTTATTAAGCTCATATAAACTTTAAATTATTTTTACGTCACACGCGCATTTCTACTCCGTTTATTATCTCATATTTCTAATTATATGGAAAGTTAAACTTTTAAACAACACACGAGACTGTCTCATTTGGAATTATTATGGTTTTCATTGCATACACGTAGTTTTAAACACTTTGTTATTACTTGTTAATACTTATGAACTAATTTATAATCATACTAGACCCCTGCTGCTTCAGAGCGGGTAGGTCACAAATTCCGAGTACTGTTGAGCACGCTCACGACCCCTCGCTACAAAGTATTTTCGGGGAGGTGAGTAAATATTCAGTGCATCAATGTACTTATCCACAGATTTTTTTTAAATATTAGATAAATTGATATACATTAATATTTTTTTAAGTAAACCATAAAAGGTATAAATTCATATTAATTGATATTTTTTTTAGATGGCTTAACAAAAAATAATAATTACAATTTTTAAAATAATTTAGTTTTTCACTATTCAATTAAGTAGTATCAATTTCAAAAAATACTTATGGTAAAATCTATAGTAACTTTTTTAGGGTGGAGCGAATACTTACATTATACTTATGATAAATAATAAAATAGTAATTAAATGTTGATTTTGAATTTAAAAATGCATATTTTTGATTTTCACTATTTTTATCCAGTTTTTCAGATATTATAATATTAATAATTTATTTAAATGAAAAATTAGTTTCAATAAAAATGATTCGAAATTAATATACTATTTTTATGTTTCAATAACGCCCAATGTCTGAAATCACACCACATAAAAAAATTATAATAGTCAATATTAGTAAGTCTCTATCTAGTTTAGATTAAAGTAAACAAAGCGGCAGATAAAGCAGCAAATGAAGCAGTCACATCATTCATTACTGATATGATTATAGAAATCCCTTCAAATTATACTATCTATCAAATTACCAAAAGAACTCACCAAAAATTGCAAAAAATATGGAACTAAATACCATTTAGTAATAAGTAAAGGAAAATTAAATCAACGCCAAAAAAATTGCACTTAAATATACCATTGACAAGAAGACAGGACAATAGACATAATCCTAACAAGAACTCGAATTGGACACAGCTAGGTACCTCACCCACGCACACTTGCTAAATCACGAACTACAACCAATATGTCCTATCTGTAACAAACCAAACACCATGAAACACATAATCACAGAATGCAACAACTACAATAACGAACGCCACATTTTCAGTCAAACTATAAAAAACATACTAGAAGAGAACAACGAAGAAAACATTTTAAAATTCATTAAATCAATAAACCTATGTAATAAACTGTATAGTAGTACTGTATATAGTTTAACTTTAAGATGTAATTTTAACAATCTAATGTATTATGTAAGCAACATGGCTAATGACCTAGTTGTCGAAGCTATACTAAAAAAAAAAAAAAAAATAGTATCCAGGAATAGTTTTAATTTATGAAATTTGAATGAAGTTTAAATATGATATAAAATAACATAACTTTGTATGAGTAAATGCAATATTATCATGTAATAAAATATCAGGTCAGCTAAATACAATTTCTGTAAATCAATGTAATTAGTGCAACGTTCACTAACCTTACTGTTTAATATATCATTTAATTCATCGCTTTTTTTGCTATTAAAACTTTCAGGAAAATTGCTCTGCGGCATTAAACCATATTTTATTATGATATTTGCTACCATGTTCCAATGCCCACCATCTCCGACCGGATCCTAAGAATAGTAAAACATATAAATTTGTAATACAGCATAAATTTAATTCAAATTATTGTATAAAAATGAAGTATTATATGATTAGGCTATCTATTTGTTAATTTTCTATGTATATAGTATATTATATGTATATGTATATGTATATTGACTATCTATCTATTTATGACATAGTTTACTTCGTTGTTGCTAGTAAGCTAACTTTTCTTCATTTCCCAACATACGTATTCTTTATAAAACAAAATTTAATGTCAGATAATAAAAATACTAAATTTCTGATGTCAATAAAAAATGTGGTTACAGATTTGTAGTAGAACTGGGAAACGATTGAGGATATTGCAAATAAATTAGTAGTGAGTAGTGTTAGTAAAAAACATATCAAACGTAGATGATGTAGCCGTTTCAAGCAACAAGCAACTTCACAAAATCTAAGCCTTGTGGCTCTAAAGATGAACAATGTTAAAGTTCCGGAGCTTTCAAGCCATATAATAAAATCTACAGTATGACAATTAGATATAAAGATTAAAAAATACTGCCTAATACTCGCATTTAAAAGTGACATTACTAATCTTGAGTCCAAGCTGTCTCCACGTTTAGCGGTCAAAACGATAGTGTTCAAAAAATGATTGCTTCTTTCGATCTATTTAACATATGACATTCAATTAAATTTAAAGTGATACATTAATTATTATCACGTTTTAACATACTAATTAATTAAATGACCTGTGAAATCAGTTTGCACAATGTCATCATGGTATAAATACTTATTTAGAAAAATGTATTTCTTAAAAAAGTATTATGATATATATGTATAACAAACGTATGTACCTTCTTTATAGGCGTCTAAACGGCTTCGCTTGTTTCGATCAAACTTGGCATACATATTATTTTCATTAAGAAAATCGCATGTGTGGAGGTAAGAAACCCCCAGTTTTATGTCCGGGGTACATCTTTGAAATTACCGGCTTGATTTATAGGTAAACGTTATAAGAATAAGAACGGCATATTTTTTTCATTGTAAGCCGAGAAAAGTCAAAACAATAATTATTACGCATACGACGTTTTGTTTTACGCCAATCATTTTTAATCGAAAAATACTTTGCAGGAAAATTTGAAGGAAAGACAGCGCAGTTTCTATAAACGTCAAACCACAACAAAGTTGAAACTTAAATTCAAAACTAGCACAGTTACATAAAGACCGTTCATACACCTTTCGAGGGGATGCGTGGTTTAAAATATAAAGAATTATTTGGACTTATACCTTTCAAACCTGTTACCATAAATATGAGTGTCAACATACTTTATCCCAAAAAAATATGTGTGACTGGCTGAATTCGAATTCTTTGATCTTATAATGCTTCATGAACGGTATTCTTATTGCGTTCAAACAAGCGAATATCCAGCAGCGACCAGAATTTCGTTGGTTGGTCACTGGTATACCAATGTCTTTGATCTACTTAGAATAACATAATTATACAAGTCTTCGGATCTAGAAGCGAGAAAAAACTGACACGACCTTGTGCGAAAAACTATTGTCATAGGCCCCATTTTGAAGTCGTTCCCTCAATACTGAAACTTCTAACGGATCATGCTTCTGACATGCATTTTGAGCTAATACGTATCTGGGGTTTGAACGAAACGCTTTTTCGTATCTTGACACTGAACTATTCATCATCACATCTTAAAATGTTGAATAATTAATTACTAATATAATTATACTTACGTGGAAAATAACATGCATTGTGTTATAACTTAAAAAGTATACAGGGTAGGTAATCAAAACTTTACTTTACAGACATTTTTTTTTATGAAATAACTATTTTTGCTAAATAGGTTTCAAATGAAATCGTTATTCAATTTAATGATTAAAAATAGTATTAACTGTTAAAAATATTATATTAAATTGTAGTTTTCGAAAATAACTTTTCAAAATTAAACAGCAATATACAAATTTGATTTAACGTTAAATGTATAATAACGTAATACAGTTAATGTTTGTCGATAACCAGTTTTGAATTAATAGTTCTTGAGTGATTCCTATTTAAATGTATAGACGGATAGTCCACCTCTCTAATTATTTAAAAGGTACTAACTCAAAAAGTCTTTAATCAAAAAAGGCTATCGATTAATCTTAATTTACATCACATCATTCCGCTTTTGATAGGCAAGTTTAATATTAAGTTTGCTTTTGACGTTTAATAATTATCCTCAAAAACTACCCTTAAAAATAAAATTTTAAACTTAATATAAAAACCATTATTGGTATTTTATTTAAATATTGTTTTCTTATTTTTCAGCTAAAATAGTTATTTCACAAAAATAAAATTGCTCTATAATAAAATGTTGATCGTCTTGTATTGTATGAATGCAACGCATAACAGTAGACGAGCCGAATACAAATTTGACAACATTGGAACATGTCCAAGTGATTAAGGGCGGAAATATAGTTGATAATCAGAAGTTTGAAGGAGACTATATGGCTACATATTCATACACAAAGAGACACGTCCAATCACATATATGCGACAGTCTTATGTGTCATTTGTGATTTGGGTGTCTTTTCACAAGTATATTGAATTTCATCGAATACACAATTCACCCAGATTGCAATTCGGTAGTAATACTTTACTTGAACTGAAGGTTGTGGTGGTGACGATACGAGCGTTGTTGTCTACTGCACGGGTACGACGCTGGTTTGAGACCCTTTTAGGGGAGGCTTTGGCAGGCTCGACCAACACCAATCGTCCAGTATACAGCAGATATTCCATTGAGTCCAATAGCCTGTCCATGCGGTATTTTTTACAAAAGTAGTTGGCCCCAAAGGCTTGGCGCAACTTACGATGTAGCTCGGTTAGGTCGAAGCTTCTACATCGTTTCACCTCGTCCAAAATGAAATCAGTTATTCTTTCGAAACACGTGTAACGACCGCTACCATGGTAAGTCATTGTATATAATAAGTATATGATAAATGTCGAAAATGACCGTATCACGACAAACACCTAACACATCTATAATATATTATATGTATGGGTAATCAATAAAATACACCATCTGCGTTAGCTATATTTTGTCATGGATACATCCGCTACTGTCGAAGGTGCTACTGTTGAACTATCACATTGCAACGATTTTTGAAAAACAAAATTTTAATAATTCCATAATTATTATTTACAAAATTATGTTTTCTATACAAATGCGTACACCAAGTCAATAGATTAACTGAATAGGTAATAACTGTTAAACAGGATGTTCCGAAGAATCTATACCGAATCACTGTTAAATGGTAATGCTATTAATTACATTTTGTAATGATTAAGATAACCGTCATTATAGAGATCGCACTGTGTGCGGGCTCTGGTTTGGTTGGACAGATTCGATCAGCGGTACCGTTGCCGGGCATCGACTGAATTTATTTATGGCGCACACGAAAGCATTATTGACCATGCGCTAATATTATAATTATAGTATTGTCATATTATTGTTGTTTTGGTCCGGGTATCGATAGGCGCAGGGGAGTGACCACCGAGCAACTATTGTACCGTGGTTGCTTGTATGGCCCCGCTAACGACGTCCGCGGTCTTTATGTAATAAATTAACGTTGCTGACCGTTATAATTACAATTGGTATTATTATTATAATAATATATACAGCTGCTGCCGTCGTCGCAACAATAATGGAATATTATTTCGTTGTTTTCGGATCACCTAACAATTAAGATGTCGGATGCGTACGACTTAAACCGCTACCGGCCAGAAATTATTACCGTTTAAGTACCTCATCGAATGTTCGGTATGTGGAAACACTATAGTTAATCAAAAATTATACAATACCAATAACACTAGGATCTCGACTTGTTCTAAGTAAAAAAAAAAAAAGCATTGAGAATCGAAAACAATCGGAGCAAGTTGTGTTTCCTTTAACCAGCAAGGGCATAGACTATAATATTATAATAGATGTATCTGCATCAATGACGCTCAGACTATGTCTACCATATTTCACATCCGCTCATAGCTCTAGCAGCATCTATTTGAGTTAGAAATCCAAATATTTTTTTAACAAAATCTCATTGAAGGTACTCTTCGGAGTCAAATCTATAGTAATCATAAAAACATGATACTTGTGTAGTTCTAGTCAAATTAGTTTTAATATTCTTGCAACCCCATTTATACATTTGTCTTCGATCGCTCATAGAGTTTATAAAAATTCTTACTAACACCCAGGGGACTTAAACTGCTATTATTTAATTTTTTAGTATTTCCTATACTATTGAATAAAATAGGATAAATTTAGATCAGGATAAGTTGGACGGATATGTTGACTAACGAAGAAGTATTAGAAAGGATATCAAAGCAAAGATTTTTATAGAAATGTATCCAAATTGAATTATAGAAGAGTGTGCCTTTTATTATTCTACTCAGATGAATATATTAAGAAGACTGTTATGGTGAAGTATGTCCAATTAAATTTGCTTTTCTTATTATCAAGATCTTAGACAACGTCTATTTTACAGTGTGAGAAAATCGACCAAGTACCAAATTCGACGCGTTACACCACACGTTAACATTTGTATATTTTGTTTTTATGCGTTTATTGTCTAAATTTTGAAATTCTGAAACACGTACATAAAATAAGTAATGAAATTTGAAAACCTCTCAACCATATATTATATTAGAAACGACGACAGTATTGTGAACATTATGCGGTTTGTCATCGCTTTTTTTTTATGACAAAAGTCTGGACTGTATTATAATAACGTGTTGGCTAGACGAACAGCATTTATCGCCGTCCGCTTATGCGAATACTATGAAAAAAAATCCTAAGAGACCTGACGTCCTGACCAGATAAACCACTGAATTAGCTGCCATGTACCCACACTAACAGAATAGGTAGTAATTTATAGGACAACCGCAAACGATGACCGGCCTCATCGCGTTTATAGGGTTTATGGATAATTATCATATTGTCATGGTTACTGAATTGCACATTATACTACAATACTCTTTTCTTTTTTGTTTAATATGGTACAAGTTATCTTCTATTGACTTTTATATAACATTTATAATCAATACAATGTTGCACAATAAATAAATTTAATAATGATATGCGACAGTGATTGTTGTTAAAGCCAAATTCACATTTGACCCACTTAACAATGAAAGAGAAAAAAAACTATTAGTAACTACATAGGTAATTGAGCGGTATTAATTATTATGATGTGTATAGTAACAAGTCTCTGCACTACTGGCGAGTGAGGAGATGAACCTAACCTAACCTGGATGCTAGAAGTGTTTTAATACCCAGTTGGGACACAATGGTATTTAAATGATTTTGTAATTTTTAGTAAAATCTTAAGTAGTAGAGAGTAGCTATTTGTTTTGCCATATTGACGAAAATATTAATTTTAACCCGTGCCTCACAAGAGTTTAAATGGGATTTAATATAGGATTTTGATACTTGTGCAATGCATACATTTTTTCTACTATAAGTTTAAGGTGAAGTATTGGTGGTTTTATAGCTTGGAGTCTGCTAACACGTACAACATACCCAAAATCATACTTTAACCCTTGTAGGGCACGGGTTAAAATAAATGTATATATTGCAGGTCTTCGTATAATTTTATTCCAGCATTAGTTTTTTTTATTATTGGACAATTTTTAGTTATTTAAAATTATCATAAATTTTGCGATTACACACCATAGCGTTCACGTGTTGACGTTAAACATATTTTTATAATGTGTAATAATAAGTTGTCATTTGGTGTTTCTATTTAGAAACAATAAAACATATTGTACGGTTATTACCATGAAATAAAGGCCTTGTTTACCCTGAACGTGGAAGATCTATTGTAGTAAAGAATTAAGTATAGATATTGATAGTCATTTTATTAAATATTAATAATATTTCTAAATATAATAGTAAAAAATAATACCTGTTGTGTTCCATTGTTTTTTTTAAATTATCAACTACTATAAATATAAATTACAATTATTATAATTCATAAAATAAAGTCACAGTTATTTTATCATTGTAGCTGTATATTTAGAAACAAAGTTTGCACAAACAAACTGTTGTTGGCTTGTAAAAAAAATATACAACAAAAAATACAAATCAGCTTTTAAATGAACATAAATTGTCATTAGGGGGAATACATTTAGTGTAAAAACGTAGTTAACTTATATTACGTACCATGTAAAATCCACAATTCCTTAAGTATATTAATAAACAAGTAATAGTTTTCATTTAATTTACTCATTGTATACAATTTTGGTAAACATAAATTAAGCGGTTTCAATACGAATTTTATTTTCGCTATGTAGTTACTCATGTCTTTAGTGTTTTCGAATACGATTAGTTCTAACATAGATTAAATATACTGTGTATATTTAATCTATGGTTCTAATAAATCAGTGTACGCCGTTATTCTTGTCGTTTGATGATCTTTTGCAAAACGGTAAAAGTCATTATCCACGTTTAACTCATGTAATTGTTTATATTAGATAATTTTATTAGTGTCGACGAGTTAGGACAAAATCCAAACGGGGCCATCGTCAATGTTCAGATATCCAATAGTCAATTTGAGAGGAACGTTTAGAAGAAACCAAAAGTGCTTTAATACGGTTTTTGTTTTGTCGTTCATAATGGCCGTGTAGTTTTGATTATCTCCGGATTTGA